ATTTACAGGTATATTCTTCATTTATCATATCCCATTCAGTACCTACCCCCCCCCCCCCCCATTTAACAAGTACAAACAACGAACTTTATAAGAGCTAATGTCAGCTTTTTGTACTCGGTCAGTAGTGACAGGTGAGCAGCTAAACCAGAGGTCTCAAACCTGGGGGATGTCCACCCCCCCCCCTCTCCCCATCTCCACCCAGGAGAAGTTCCAGCGGGCGGGAGGAATAGTGCATTAAGCAATTTTGTAAATGTGTGCAACTGTAATAATCTGTTATACTACTACCCCCCCCCCCCCCCCCCCCCCACATTTTCCGATTAATTGTAAAGTATTAAAAAAATGTTTTAAAAATAATATTCTAAAGAATTTTGTTTACATAAGCAGTTTGTACACCTGCCGTTAAAAGTCTAATTATTACGATAACATGTACATTGAATTATAGATTAAGAACACATTTTTCGTCTTTTTAATAACATTGTGTATGCTTGGAATGTTGGGTGGGGGAGACGGGGAGGTCTTGTCATATACTCTAAGGGGGCACCACTTGAACAAGTTGGAAACCACTGGTCTAGTTTAACCACTACGTTAGCCTAGCTCCCCCCCCCCCCCCTCCCCCACTCACACAACATGCTAGGAAGTTCTTGTATAACCATAGCGGAATTTTGGTTTTTCTTTTTCTCTTGACTTCCACTGAAATTTTCTACTTTTGTGTACTTCTACTTTCCGTGTCTGGTTGCAATGCCGGCTTTCCTGATTGAATGTCGGTGGCAACAAAACAAAGAACTGCAATTCTGGTGTGGGACTGTTTATATTCGCACATCTGACAGCTGCTATATGCATTCTCACTTTGCATGTTCACGCTTCCAGGTTTTTATGGGACGAATCAGTTTTTCACGTTTTCCAGCGAGACAACGAAGGACATGTGTGATTCCACCTGGCACAGCAACGGGTCATTTATCGGGCGACGCGTCTGCAATTGAACCTTGACTAACTAACGACTTGTCTACAGAAACCATTACTGCAGTATGACATAATGGACAGGTTATTTATGGCATATTTTGTTCGTCGATAGTTATGTTACAGAGCGTTGCGATATTCTATAGAGTTCGCTGCTCCGTGAATACGTTTATGTTGGTTCATACACACATATTAAACAGTCTCAAAGCTTAAATATGTAACTGTAAAGGACCCTTCCACACCTGAGATGGGCTGAGTCAAGAATTGACATCACAGCACTCGGGGCATTTCCATGCATGCACCGTCCTTATCTTCAGCAGCCAGTGCAGAGTTCCAATACTGATTGTCCCGTCACAATCTGGTTACATGTCTGTCTTGCCTCTCCTCTGAGTGTAGTGAGCCAGCCAGACCCTCTGGTTACACCCAGGTGCCTTATTCTCTCCAGGAGATAATAATCTTTTTTCTCTACTGATTCCGTTGCTTGTTCTCAAAGGGCCTCGACCACATCTGCCTTGTCATGTATCAATTCCCCATCCATAGGTGCGGATCATGCCAGTCCTTCCACGCTTGTGAGTATATAGTTAGACCTATTTTATTGACTAATCAGCACTTGATGGGTAATAAGATCACGCCGATCGCCTTTACTTCCAATGACTCCACCTCGTACCACCAATTCAATGCTGGGTGGACCGTCAGGACATTATCCCACGACATTCGGAACCGCAGACTAGCGTCTAGTTGCTGCACCACGTCGGCTCCCTGTAACTCTGTACCCTCGGGTAATTCCACGACACTAAACTTTGACCTAAGCATTGTCGGGGGCTGCAGTTTGTTGACTGTTTGTGATTTTACTGAGATGTTTTACGTTCAGTAGTTTGCCATTGCTTCCTGCACTGTAGGCTCTAGATATCACTGTCAAAATAAACACATTCTACCAAGTGTATAAGATCAATCATACATATTCTATGAACTGGTACCAGAGATACATGCACACAACGCTGTTTGGGGCGGACAGAGGTAAGTGACTGCTAGACACATAATACCCTCCTCTTAATTATAGGCTACAAGGTTGCCTTTATCCATACCTTTCGTCATTATTTAAATTAATAGTAACAACTTCACATACGACACCAACTACAGACATAACAACTTCACATATGACACCAGCTACAGACATAACAACTTCACATCTGATGCCAGCTACAGACATAACTACTTCACATATGACACCAACTACAGACATAACAACTTCACATATGACACCAACTACAGACATAACAACTTCACATCTGATGCCAGCTACAGACATAACTACTTCACATATGACACCAACTACAGACATAACAACTTCACATATGACACCAACTACAGACATAACAACTTCACATATGATGCCAGCTACAGCCATGAAAACTTCCCATATGATGCCAGCTACAGCCATGAAAACTTCACATATGATGCCAGCTACAGCCATGAAAACTTCACATATTATGACAACTTCACGTATGATACCAACTTCACCCATGACAGCTTCACATATGATACCTTCACCCATGACAGCTTCACATATGATACCAACTTCACCCATGACAGCTTCACATATGATACCTTCACCCATGACAGCTTCACATATGATACCAACTTCACCCATGACAGCTTCACATATGATATCTTCACCCATGACAGCTTCACATATGATACCAACTTCACCCATGACAGCTTCACATATGATACCAACTTCACCCATGACAGCTTCACGGATGATATCTTCACCCATGACAGCTTCACATATGATACCAACTTCACCCATGACAGCTTCACGTATGATATCTTCACCCATGACAGCTTCACATATGATACCAACTTCACCCATGACAGCTTCATACATGACACCTTCACCCATGACAGCTTCATACATGACACCTTTACCCATGACAGCTTCACATATGACACCTTCACCCATGACAGCTTCACGTATGACACCTTCACACATGACAGCTTCACATATTATGAACACTTTACACATGACAATTTCACAAATGATGCAGACTTCACATATAAAGATAATTCACATATGAAATACAGCGTCAAACAAGAAAAATGCACACATAACATTTGTAACTGCAAAAAATACCAGAAGGCCATTGTTATGAGCATACATTTTATTTTTATCATTTATAAATGTTAACCAAAAATTAAAATTCCCCATGAACAAATAAATTGAAAGTGTCACAAACTAAATATACTGTACATCATAATCACACCTAAATGTTGAGGAAATATTTTCTTAACAAGACAGATAATTAAGTAATGGAAAACTGAATGATGGTCGGATAGACAGTGTCCAGATTAAATATCTAGTTTAGAAAAAAATCATCCACAACGAATATTTGTAGCAGCATGATTTGTAGTGTTCTAGCAATGAGTTCATCACCGATAGATCCTACATGGTGTGGGCAGATGACAAATTTCTCTTTCTGTGGTTTGTAAGTGAAAATTGATATATATATATATATGTACACACACACATTTAGTGTAAATATAATTGTACTCACAATGTCTACACAGTTGCAACAAGTATGAAAGCCTGTTATATAAGTCTGGTGGCTACTACCCAAAGTCTTCATGTCACCAAAAACCTGCAAATACTGGGAAAACCACCCTAATGACTTGGCTAAAAAGAAAACTGTGCAAAGAAAGATTGCCGTTTTCCAAATTATTAACAATTATTTTTGCCTTATGATTTAGTCACAAAACCTGAAAAGGGGAGAGGAGGGAAGGAGATGGAAGGACAGACTAATGGTGCAGTGGTCAGCATGCCATATTGAGGTTATTTGTTCAAACCCCAATTAATACATTTGAAATATTAACCTGGGTTCCAAGTCAACTCAGCAGACAAATGGTAATAGGAAATGTTCTGGGACATAAAGGTAAGAAAATAATACATTTTTAAGAACATGAAAATATAAAGGCCTAAAAATTGTACAAGCCAAACTAATTAACTAATTTCAAAACTTTTCTTTTTTTGCTTTTTTTTCCTTGCATCTTTTACTTTTTATTGGTTCAGCTAATATTGTGTATTATTATTATTTCAGTTTGTAAATGTGCATTTTATCCAATTAACTGTAGCCAGATAGCATGCCATGTTTTTTATTAACTCCACTCATGTAGTATGTATTTTCCTTTTTATGTTTGTATATGTACATATTGCTTATTCCTACATTTTTTTTATGGGTCATTCAACCTTTTTTTTTTTTTAAAGTCTGGAATTGACAGCTGGAACAAAACAAAAAGCCTGACCTGGCAAATATACAATATATGGCTCAGGCTTACCACTTGGCATGAACACCTTTTGCTATTTATTATTTGCTGTATGTCTCACACTTTTGTAAGACATGAAAATAAATCATTTACTTACTTACTGGCCTGTCTCTATTGAGCCTGTGGCATTGAGTTCCTAGTGTGAAAAAAAAAGTAACTAGTCACCTGTGCTACAGATATAGTAATTAGGTGTTGAACAGTTTTTAAGCTGCGATTCTGGTGTATGCCAGTTAGTGTTGTCACATCAGACAGCTGTCTTATACATTTTTACTTTGCATGTGCAAGCTTCAAGATTTTGCTGGGACTGAGGTCTTTAGCCTTCCAATAGAACAGTAAAGGACATTTTGTGTAATTTCCACTGGCACAAGAATGGAGGAGTTGTGGGGCGACCGTTGGCAGTGATACTGAAACCTGGACTAACCTGACTAATATTGAGAGAATTGCTCATGATAGGATGTAATGGAGGAATAGAGTGCAAACCTTAGTTGATAAATAGGAATACTGCATGATGTTGATGATGAAGATGTGATGATGATGATGATATATTAAATCAGTAAAAATATTCATAAGATACAATTACATATTACAATTACACTACTCATTATATGAATCTTCTCTTCTTACAGGTGAAGTCTGAAATATGACACTCAAATCTATTGTTACCACTGATTACTTATTCTTTCCACCACTGATCCACAAGTAAATTGGGACCACTTGTTGGTTCACTGGTTGTGATTTGGAGATGAATTATGAACTGATGGGAGTACAGATGGTTTATAAACCGGCAACATGAAGTAAATAAAAATGATCAATGCTATGATAAAAACAAATATTGCCAAAATTTTAGTGTTGGTTTTAGCTCTGATCTGATCGTGTTTTGTTGATGATTCTGAGCTTGAAATGAGTTCGTCATACTCCATTTTTCTCTGATGGCGTTCTTTCTTGGCACTAATGCTGGCCTCAGTGACAGAAATCTGGAGCAGTAGTTGGCCGATGGAGTTTGTTCCTCCATCCTCTCGCTGAAGATAGGCTTTCAGTTCATTAGTTTCTTTCTTCAGACTCTGCAGATCACTGATGTAGTTCTCAGCAGTCAAGAAACTGTCATCAAGCTTGCGCAATCTTTTTGTGACAGAATCAAGAACTTGAGATGTTTTCTTCTCTAGTTCAGGCAATTTACTTTCAGCAAGCATTTTTCGTTGCCCAAAGCTGGCTGCCTTGAAAGAATCCATAGTATATTTGGGTACCCTGGATTTTACCTCATCAACCTTTAACATCAAATTCTTAATCTGATTCTGTTTTCGGTCATTGTTTTGTTCTCTGTTGTTGAACAAAACATATCTGTTTCCACATTCTTTAAACAGATCTTTGACATCTCCCGTCTGCTGGCGACACCAATCATCAAATGTGGTTCCATCATCTTCCACATCAGTGGCAAAGCTATCTCCATAGCTCATCACAATCACTCCATATTTCTTCAAAACATCATCGCCAAAAAGGGACTTAATGATTCTGATAGCTTGTTTCTCCTGATTCGTGAACCTGACACCATATTTGAGAACCAAAAGGAGTGCAGTAAAACCAAAAACAAACATTTCCACAGCCTTTCTTGCCAGAGAAATTGTGACGGAAACATTTTCTGGGCCATCAGTGCAGTTGTCTCTGAGACTTATACCATCTACAACAGTCACCTGTCTCCCATCAACCACTTCACTGGCTTGAGTGAGATCATCAGAACCTTGGAAGCTGCTGCTTCTAGGGATAAATGCTTTCTTGTTTAAAATCGAATTTCCAACTGAACTTTTCCCATTTCCATCCCTTCCAACCAATAGCAGGCCAACTTCAGACATCTTCTGGAATAATGGACAATAATAACTTGTCACATATATGTACAAAACAAAACATACAATGAAAAAAATAAAAATAATCTTAAAAGGTATTAAATGTGTTTTTTTATATCTGCTTCTGAATGAAAGCATGAAATGAATATATAATATTCCTGATAGGTGGATTGTTTCACATTTTTAGTTATATATTACTAAATTATTACTGCTCAGCTTTTTGTGTGTCTGTGTCGCATCAGAGTCAGAAACTGCTGAGAATATCTGAACAGACCTGGGTACTATGTAGACCAGATTGAATAATAATTGAGCTTAATGTACCTCATAGACAACAAGACTAGACCTGAGTGCTCTGTATTTCAGAGGCAATCTGATTAGACGTAAGTGTTTTATATCTGGAAGACAATGAGACTAGACCTGTGCTTTGTATTTCAGAGACATGAAACTATACCTGAGTGCTTTGTATTTCAGAGACCTGAAACTATACCTGAGTGCTTTGTATTTCAGAGACATGAAACTATACCTGAGTGCTTTGTATTTCAGAGACAATCTGATTAGATGTGAGTGTTTTATGTCTGGGAGAGAATGAGACTAGACCTGTGTGCTTTGTATTTCAGAGACAATCTAATTAGACATGAGTTTTTTATACCTGGAAGACAATGAGACTAGATGTGTGCTTTGTATTTCAGAGACAATCTAATTAGACATGAGTTTTTCATACCTGGAAGACAATGAGACTAGATGTGTGCTTTGTATTTCAGAAACAATGAAACAAGACCTGAGTGCTTGTATTTCAGAAACTATCTGATTAGACCTGAGTGTTTTCATAAGGAGACAATGAGACTAGACTTCTGTGCTTTGTATTTCAGAGACAATGAGACTAGACCTGAGTTCTTTGTACCTCAGGGCACATTCTTTAATTTTATTTACACTGACAAAGGAGGAGCTGTTAGGCAGCATCTGTCTGCAGTAATTTTGGAATCTCAGCCAACCACTCAGAACTATTTATATCTCCTCCAACACTTCTTCCCATCCAACATTTCTCTTGTCAATGTGCACTACAGTTTATTTTTCAAAAACTACTCATGGCTCCCCCGCCCCCACGCCCAAATATGAATGACTTCTTGATTCATAAAACCAGTTTTCTTTGTCAATTAAATTCCTTTCAAGACCTCTTCACTTATTATTTTCCTCTCCACAATAATATTTACCTTGTATAAAATAGACGGCTGTGAATCCTGGACCATTATAAAACAAGCCAAACAATTTCTGGCGGCCTCTGAGATGTGGTTTTACAGAAGACAGCCAAATAAACAAAGAGCAACCCAGATGTTTCTGAAAGGGATGGGTTTGTGTCAGGTTCATTATTTACCCTAGCTCATAGAAACTGCTTTCACAAAGTCCAAGCAAGCATGACATCCTAGCTTAGGTTGGGAATCTTTGAAAGTTAAACAGTTGATAAAATCGACTGTATTGCACCGGATTTTATATCATATGGCTCAGTCTCTCTCTCTGCAGAATGGCTAGCTACCTGCATTGCACAAAGCACGAACTATATACTCTGGTGACAATTCCCATTGATCTCCATTAGAACTGGCCTGCACTCATGAACTCAACGGGTAGCTATGAAACGAACCCGTGACCTTCACAGAGCGAGGCAAATTACTTGACCACTTCGCCAAAAATAAAGAAATTTTGCTCAACAAATGTAAACTCTCAATTACTGTTTCGTAACGATTTAACGATTCAAGGGTTATAGCTGGAACTTACACAGACGCGACGTTAACAAGGGCGGGACTAGTCGCGCGTTGTTTACTGCATATTTAGCGGAGTTTCACTGGCCTCTAGGTTTCTTAGCCTCGTTAATTTAGGACCTTTTTTCGAAGAAAAGCCGAATGCTAAATAAGGTCCTGGGAAGTAAAGGCGACTGGTCTGATGTTAACCACACCATCCACAGTTGGTCTGTAAAAATTCCTACATACCTAGCTAAAAGGCCATTCGTCTCCGATTTTCAGGACAGTCCCAGAATCATTTGATCTGAATTATCTGTAACAGCTTGTTTTAGCGTCGAATGGTTGTCCCAGGGAAAAAGTGGTCACTTAGTTACATTGTTCTTTGTTGTTTAAGTTGTGCTTTATTTCACACACAAAATACTAATTTAGTAAATAAATGTCAACTTACGCGACTCTGTGACTGCGTCAACTCACACACTTGAAGCAGTTAAACTTGTTGCAACAAGTCCCACTATATAAATGCAGGAGTAAATCCGCCAGAAATTGCTTAGCTACCGCGGGTTGGTAATCGTTTCTGAGAAACCAGCTAGGTCCTGTTTCTGGGGAAAGTTTATTTGAGCTGACACCACCTTGATATTGAATATAGGTCACAGTTTGTCAGTGTACCTGGCAGACTGACTGACTGACTTTCTACCCCACTAGGACATCACACAAGCGATAAACACCTGATGACACAAAGTGCCACTATGTGGATGATGATCGCCGTGGAGAGGTCCCAGAAACCGCGTTCAGACAATTGGCCATATGTATGGCCTGTCTATATTGCGGCCCCTGGCAAAAGCTATTTTGGGGCTTCACATTACAAAAAAATTCGTCCTGAAAAGGACGAAAATAGAATACTCGATCGTTGTACCTGGCAACGGAAAGCACCAGCTTTTCAGTAATGCTCGAGTCGCCCGTGACCTGTCTTTTGCTCCAATGGGAATTGACAGCTATCATCATCACAGGCTGTGCTGAGCGACGCCAAAGACCATTCTTCTTTACACACTGTTTTTCTTCTTTGGTGATCTTGATAAATCGTTTATGATTTTTGTTATCACAGTCGACGTCACTGAGCAGTAAGCATTCCCTTTCCTGCTCAGTCTTTCAGTGTATCAGTGACTCCAGTGTACTTCTGCTGATTGTTACAATGAGAATTTTGTTATAGTGCATTTCGTCAAATGAATTTACCTATCTGAGATTCCAAAATGTGTTTCTTTTATTTGAACAAGTTGTTTTTTTTTGTCGTTGATACAGATTTGTGGGTACCGGGAGCGCTTGGGGTGGGGGGCACATAGAGCCACTGTCTACTAGCAAGCATGCCGTAGGGGGCGACTAATTAGGGGTAATTCTTCGAAATCGGAGTGCATCTATATCAGCGGCGAGGAAGGAACAATCTGCTTACAGTTACAGCAGATTTTTAAAACAAATATGCACGCAAAACACAAGCTCTGGATCAGGGCCAAAATCTATAAATAGACGAACAACCAGAACTTTCCGCCAGAGTTTACAGCCGATGAAAGTAGTTACATAATAATCATAACAACAATAATAATAGAGTCGTTTATTTTCAAAAGAGTTAATCTGCAGCTGATCTCTCCCAAGTGTACATAATGTATAAGCTATACATCAAGACGGAATACCAGTGTCCAGTACTACCCATAAAGGTGTCCACCAACAACTTCCACCCGACTGCACTTAACAGCATAAGTGGAAATTTTCATGGACAGTAATTTAAAACCACACAAATTATGAAAAGCGAATGGACGTCAGTTGGTGCACAAAGTCTGGAATATGATATCACAACGTCTAGTTTGAGAATGGAGGCGGAGGTAGTCACTGCTGCCTTCCGCTGGTCTGAGAATCAGCTGTACACACATGTCGTCATTGTAACTGACTTACAGAAAACGCTGAAAAAGGCGGAGACAGGCATGCTCCGTGCAGAGTGGCAGGCATCAATTCAGAGGTCTCGGGTAGTTGGCGTCCTTTGGATATCTTCTCCAAGGAATGCCGGTGTGTTGGGAAATGAGCAGGCAGACAGACTGGTCGGCTGGGCACCACTTAGTGGTGAATTGTTGTATGCCAAGCTAGATATTGTAAGGGCCCTATGGGACCGAGTGAACAGTGCAGAGGCATAGACAGAACATTACGGTCTGAGGAGAATGGCGTTGCAATGCGTTACCAGAGGATCTGGCAGACGCTCAACAGTTAGGGGAAAACGAGACGGATATACAATCAGACAGTTACTGGTGTTATCGGAATTGGAACTCCTTGCTTGCTGCTGAAGATAGGGACGGAGCGCTTATGGAAGCGTCCTGAGTGCTAATATGTTAATTCTCTATTCAACATACAAACTATGACTATAAAGATTAACGCAAGGAGAGGATAAGACCAACACAAAATCAAGCGAACGTTTCGACCAAAGTCTTTATCAATGAACTGTGATGTGTCCATGGTCCTGAAGTTCCACATTTGCCTAGTCACTAAGGTTAGTGCGTATCCTTTACAGGACGTTGCCGAACCAACAGAGGCAGCCCCTGGCTGTTGTGCGGTTTCTCTAGGCAAATTTGCGTCCACTAGTTTGCCATTTCCTACTGGACGGTCGGTCCCCTGATACCCTTCAAAACCAACGCAAGGCGCATGGCCCGCAGCTGGGATCGAATCCGGCACCCCGGCATTATGAAGCGTTCGCATCGACTTAGCCACAGAACCGACTGCCTAGTCACTACAGGCACAAAATAACAAATGTTAACACCTTTTCAAGGTATTGGGCAAATAATTCCTTTTTAATACATACATAAACCAAAGAGAACTAGACGGGTTATGTGACAAGTATCTAGTCGGCTGTCTTTAGTTCCCAAAACATTGCATTGTAAGTTGACTCGACCTGATGCAGAGGCCAACTTTGCTCTATCTTTATGCTACAGCCAGCTCCATCTTTCGAGTCTGGTTTACGTCAATGTATTTCAAACCTGGATTCGTAAACAGTTGACCTGACATTTTCCTGTGAATCAACATACGGGGAAACCCGAATTAGTAAGTCTTCCCCAGAATTTACAATGTCAGAGTAAGGTCTATTTTGTGTACATTCTTGTTTACATTCTTCTACTCGGCAAGCTGGTGTTTTGAAGCAGCCATTGCAAATATTTTCTACTTTGTAACTCAAGTGTACTGTTTGCTTTGGGTATGTGTAATATTTTACGTGCACATGTATATATTTTACTTGATGGTTATTAATTGCAATTTTGTGCAGTCTTAAGCGTGTGCATTAATTTATGTAGAGTTGTTACTTCGTTTACTGATGACTGAGTCAACTAATTCACCGTGGGGGTTCAGGAGCTTACTTTTGGAGAACAAAGTAAACACCCACAGCGCCCACTACCCCAACAAGCATGTCGCAAGAGGCAACTAATTAGATGGGTTGCCATCAGAGTCGGAGTGCCTCTACTTAAGAAGCAAGGTAAAACAGTGTGCATACATATAAGCCAAATCTGTAAAACGGATGTGCATGCAAAATTCGTGTTCTGGATCACGACCAAAGTCCAGAAGTGGGCGAGCAACCAAATTGTTTCACCGAAGTTTATAGCAGGTAAACGCTGAATTGAGCTGTGTTGAGTTAGGAATTGACATCACATCACTCAGGGCATTCCCTTGCGTGCTCCGTCCTCCTCTTCAGCAGCCAGCGCAGAGTTCCATTGAAGTTGGTACCGGTCACAATCTAGTTATATGTCTGTCTATCCTCTGAGTGTAGTCAGCCGGTCAGATCCACCGGTTACACCTACAGGCCATATTCTTGTTTTTCTACTGATTTTGTTGTTTGTTCCTAAAGGGCCTTGACCACATCTGCCTTGTCCTTATTCAATTCACCACCTAGTGGTGCAAATCCAGCCAATCTGTCTGCCTGTTTATTTCTTATAACGCTGGCGCGCCATAGACAAAAGATCCAATGTATGCTCACTACGTGTGACCTTTCCAGTGAAGCTTGCCACTCCGCTCGAAGCATCCCTGTCTTTACCCTTTTCAGCATGTTTTCAGAGTCTGTTACAATTATGACATGTGTATGCATCGTGTTCTCTAGCCTTCGGAATGCTGCAGTTACCGCCTCCACCTCCATTCTCATACTAGATGTTGTATCATATGCTAAGCTGTCCTGCACTAAAGATTTTTCATTGGCTTTCGCTACGAACTCCCAAGCGCTTCTCTTCCCTCTCAACACTGAACCTTCTGTATAGATAATCAGATAATCTGGACGAAAATTGTCGTGAATCAACTATTGGACATTCACCTCCGTGGACTCCGCTGGCCACTCTCTGCTCATCCGGCCCAATGTTATCATAACCCTACACAGGTCAGACTTTTCCTTTGGTAGTCTGACTCACTTCTCTCCTCACTCAGTGTTCTCCAGCTTGCATACTTGTCTTATTCTGTCTTCTGCTTTAGCCATCCAAAAATTTTCCCCCTTTTCAGCCTCTGACCCTAACGTGAAGCCAAAGTTTCATACAGAGGGTGTTCTTTGTCTGCTGCTACTCTCAGGTAGGTGAACGCTAAGAATTGAAAGACATTATCTAATTTTACTTTTGAAAAATATCTTTGTATCCGCCTATACATTCATCTGTATATCTGTATATTTGGGACCACGTCTAACATATTAATAGCAAGGTTTACTTTTTGAAAAAAAAAAAAAAAAAAACAATTTAAAAAAAAAGAAGTTTGTTGCATATCATTGACAGAATGTCACACACTAACCAGGCGTTTGATGGCTACTTATGGTTTTACTAGGCGAAGTTATGTTTAGTAGTTTGCCATTGCCTTTTCAGCTGTCGCCACTCGCATAATTTTCGAAATCAAAGCAAAGTGACACACTGACCAACAGTCTGCATTTGAATAGACACCGGTATGCTGGAATTAAGAAACTGATTGCGTAACCTCTAAGTAAACCACTGACGCTGACAATAGCAACACATCATCATCATCATGTTGCAAGTCCTTTGCAGGACGTCGCTTTCATCACGTCATCTCTCCCTCCCCGTGCACTTTCCCATCCAAGGTGTCACTTACATCTTGTGCCCATCTTCACGTTGGTCGGTCCCTGCCCCTTCTTCTCGGTACCATGTCTTTTGCTGTTATTTTTCCAATCCGCCGTGAAGCTGGATATAACCTGAATACTTTCAGTTTACCAGATAAGACGCTGTTTACTAGCCAGTCTTCCTTGATGTTCTAATCTTTTAGGATGTCATTATTTCTTTTATTTTCAGTGTTCCTAATATTCTGAGAATCTAATAGCGATTTACTGGGAAATAATATTGCCGATGATTGCCTTGCATCAACATCTTTTCATATTGAAGTAAAATGAACAGCTATTGAAATTTGTAATTTGACATTTATTTTCTTGCTTCTATTTATCAGACAACTTTCGATTTATTTTGACCCAAAACACACACACACACACGTTCGCCCTCGCGCGCGCGCGCGCGCGCACACACACACACACACAAGCTACTGAACGAAAAATTGCCCAGTAAAACTATGCAACGGCCATTAAATAAGTGGTTAGATTTTAGACACCCTGAAGAACACACGTACTGTAACTACTTTTTCTGTTTGAATATTTAATCTTGTCCAAAAAACCTTTTAACTTTTTCGTATTTTTTTTTAAACAACCCACAATTATTTGGTGATTACACACTACAAAACTATGTCTAGATTATAATGTCTTTCACTGATTGCAGGAATGGAAGACGGAGGAATTAAGGCAGATGAAGGAATCAAGCTTCTCCTTCTTGGACGCACTGGAAATGGAAAAAGTTCCACCGGAAACTCTATACTCGGCATGAAGGTGTTTACACCACAGAGCTCCACTTCCTCTGTGGTCACTTACCATGTGAAGGCTGAGACGGCATCAATCGAGGGCGTCCCTGTCACTGTGGCTGAAGGCCCCGGATTAGGGGATACAGACGTTGATGTTACAGACAACGGACAGTCCATGATTGGATTGTCGGAGAAAGCCATGTCCTTGATCTCTTACAAATGCCATGCCCTGCTTGTTGTTTTGAAGTACGGAGTCCGTTTCACGAACCAAGAAAAAGAGGCAGTCAGAATGATTAAGGCAATTTTTGGCGAAGATGTCATCAAGAATTACGGCATCATCGTGATGACCCATGGCGACAGTTTCAAACTGGACATGGAAAGTGACGGGGTCACTTTTGAGGAGTGGTGTGACGAGCAGACTGGAGAAATCCGTGCTCTCTTCGACGAATGTGACAAAAGATATGTTCTGTTTGACAACAGGTCTAAAGCAACTGAACAAGTGGAGAAGCAAAAAGAACAACTGCTGAATTTGGTTTCAGGCATAAAGAAGTCCAGACCACTGTACAGCAATGAGGATTACCTGAAAGCTGATGCAGGTCGACGGTTTCTACTTGTGTACAGCAAACTTCCGGAACTGGATTCTAAAACTGAGTTTATCGTTTCTAAAATCAACCAGCATCTGGATGATGTCAAGAAACAACAAAAGACCGAGAATACCGACGTTCTCCCGAAATTATGCAATGAACTCCAAGAACATAAAAGCTGGTTGGAAGCGGAAGATAAAGACACAGGCTTAACTAAGCATCTTCTCGTCCAGATTGCCATCGCTGAACACAGATTGAAATCTACGATGGACATAGCAAGAAAGACACAAGAGCTGGAAACAGAAAGAAGTCTGCAAATGGAAGGCACATTTAAAGCGACAACATTAGAAGCCCGTGAAGACAAACAGACTGGCTTCCTTTCTTTGGCTTTTTACACCCACTGGGCATTGATTTACTTCCTGATTAATACTATATTACACATCACCCCGGGGTGCATCAAATTAGTTCCCATTATCATGGACAAATTGCTGGGCATTTACAAAGTCCTGTGCTGCTTTGTTCTCCCTAGAAAGGTAATGCAAGATAAACGAGTGGTTGATGTAATTAAAGCAATTGAGACAAAGCTTGCTCAGACTCCAGATCCGTCGAATGGAACGGAAGAGAGCGTACCAAAACACAACAAATAAACGGTGTTCAAGGTAACTCTACTTGTCAGACGTTATCTGGTTCTATGCTATGAATGTGAAACGTCTGCCTTGTGTATGTGATCTGCTACCACTGTTGTTGTAAACACGGTGTTTTAAGTTGAGATGCTGCTGCTGCCTTTTTCCATTTCCAACATTATTCTGTACTTTCTCCTGCCGTAAATTATAGTTAATATCATGTTATATATGTATCTTTCACATCTGATTATTAATACTTTTTACATTTTGAGGTTGGATGACTAGTTTGTGTGAACGACCCATACATATTAAAGCATTTCAGTGCATTAAACGGGTGCTACTACACTTAACTCCATGCAGATGGCTATACTTGGGTTTGACGGAGATGTCTCAGTGGGTTTAATCCACAAAGCTGAAGGCACCTTTCCGTCTTTCAAGAGAATCGTGTTCCAGTGTTCTTTAAGGAGGCATTCGACATTGGAACAAGACTGTTCAGACAACTTTCTACAAACATGCCAATCACAGAAACTAGAATTTAAAAATATTGATAAGTTCACATGATCTAAAAATCCTTCATACTGATCTATTAAGGCGAGACGGCCAAAAAGACTCAACAAGGAGTGCAATTTCCAGTGACAGTTCAGATGAAGACATGTCTAGGATGACTGATTATACAGTTATCATAACGTCTGGTGGCTGCGAGAATTGTCTTTGGCCTTCGATGGGTTGAAAAAACACCTTTTTTAAAGAGAATGATCAAGTGAGTAGATGTCGGACGCATTATACTAAAGACGAGAACACTTCTAGATATCAAGTTTACTATAACGACACGCCCGGCTCTCTAGCGTAGTTGGCTAAATCGGATTGCGTGGAGACCGGGTGACGAACTCCTTGTGGTCCGGGTTCAATCCCGGGGGTAGGCAGGAAAACCACATTTCTACCAGATTTTACGGTATTTACAATGGAATCAAGGCCGAAAGGTTGCGATATCCATAATACCGAGCCTAAGGGTTAACAACTCATGGCTTCTGGATACTAAAACAAACAAACTATATTTGGAATCTTTAGACGATGTTTCCAAGAGACAAACATATTAGGATTTTATTTGAACTTCTGGTCTTCAGTTTTGTTCCAAAAATTGTGTTTTGCGTGCACATCCGTTTCACGAATCTGACTTTTTATGTAAGCAGACTCTTTGTTCCTCACCTCTCATGTGATCAACACTTAATGTACGACAATTACAAAACTCATTTGTTTAAAGCGATCACAATCTGTGAACCTTGAAGATTGCATTTGTGGTCGTTTGGTGTGCTTGACCATTCCTTATTAGAATCGCTGGTACCACTTGCAATATTGTATAGGGTTCCAGTTCATTCTTTTTGTTAAACTGAGTGAGTTGAGGTAAGAACTCCCAAATTACGGTACTCCTGACTTTCCCATAAGCGTATTGTCAGCATCTTCAGCAGCCAGTGTAGCCTTTCAAGGCCGATGGAACCAGCACTAGTCTGGTTGTATGTCCGTTATCCCAAGTGTTCAGGGTCAACAGATCCCCCTGTTACAGCCCACTCCATCATTATTACATATTTGTTATACTTTATAATTTTACTGTCTCTTTTGTAATTTAAAAAATTATTAAAATGGCAGAAAAATCGAATTGTTTACTCCTGGTATTTATGTTTTTCCAATAGAAGAGTGTTACAACTGTTTTATGTGTGTAACTTTTCGGGTCGGTCAGTGTTTATGTTGGATGGCATTTAAATTAATTGCGAAATCCATCATAGCATCTCAAGAGTTAATAATACACACGTTCACTATCAAGAAATTGGTAGAGAACCGATATGACAGCACTTGGGATACTAGCCTTAACGCGGCAGAGAACCGATATGACAGCACTTGGGATACTAGCCTTAACGCGGCAGAGAACCGATATGACAGCACTTGGGATACTAGCCTTAACGCGGCAGAGAACCGATATGACAGCACTTGGGATACTAGCCTTAACGCTGCAGAGAACCGATATGACAGCACTTGGGATACTAGCCTTAACGCGACAGAGAACCGATATCATCCAGAACACCCATCTTCAGCAGCTCGATGTTCCAGTTCATACGGTACTTGAAGCAGTCCGATTCTACGCCCATTTTCTCCAGACAATGATGACATATTCTTCTGTTCGCATTGTTCACTTGCTAACATCAAGCCTTAATCAAATCTAGCTTGTTATGCAATACTTTGCTAGATTACTAATATAATAGTGTTAAATGTTTCCTAACATAACTCCAGCTTTCAATGTTAGGTTATTTGTATAAGACTTTTCAACAGAGGAGAAAAAAAGATGTCTCTAGATGTGAAATATACCAGCACGTAAGCATATGAAATTCCAAAGTAATTTGATAACAATATGAATTAATTTCTAATTAACACATATTCGTTTATAAGGACATACATCTTGGATCAATGCACTTAAAGCATCATGTACACATAATAAATATTAGAGTGGTTAATCAATATTATTAATTTTAGTGGTGACAATTATTATTAATACGGCACGTTATTAAAGTAAGCCACCCCCCCCCCCCCCCCCCCACCAAACATTCCCTCATGTTGGGCCCAGGGCCCCATACTGGAGAGACAATAAATAGACCAACTGCCCCCCCCCCCCCCCTAAAAACATGTTAAATGATTTTTATTACTTTTTTCTGAGATTAGATATATTGGGTCTAAGGGTGCAGATATCGCAGTCTAGTTGTAAACCACAATGCAACCTGTCAACTGCACCTTTCAAAGTAAGCACTAAAGAAAAAGCTTCAGTAAAGACAGAACGTCCATACTTGTATATCTGTTAGACAGACATTTGTTACTAGCCTCGATTTATTATTAATTTGTCAACAATGGGGGTGTGTTGCAGTCAAAAATAAGATGATGAAGACGAAGAAGAAAAAAAAAAAGAAGAAGGCAGAGAAGAAGCAGAAAAAGAAGAAGAAGAAGAAGAGGAAGAAGAAGAAGAAGAAGAAGAAGAAGAAGAAGAAGAAGAAGAAGAAGAAGAAGAAGAAGAAGAAGAAGAAGAAGAAGAAGAAAAAAAAAAAGAAGAAGAAGAAGAAGAAGAAGAAGAAGAAGAAGAAGAAGAAGAAGAAGAAGAAGAAGAAGAAGAAAAAGGAGAAGAAGAAGAAGAAGAAGGGCGAGGAGGACGAAGACGACAAGGAACAGGATGACGGCAACGAGAAGGGGTAGAAAGATAACATTCACACAAAATAAACTACATAAATTGTATACATTACAAGTATGATACAGAAGAAACCGCTGAACAGACAGCGAAGTTGAAATACGATTAAAAAAAATATTTAACACACCTAAACATGTCGAATATAACTTTTATTGAGACACCTAACCACAATTGTTTCCACAATTCAATGCACTTTCATTGGCATATTCGTCATTTGAGCATCTTGTTAGAATGCACAACTGAATGCGTAATCCAAAGCACTATCAGTAGCATATTCGTTATTAGGGCACCTTGTTGGATAGTAACAGCACCGGTTACCAAAATACCAAAAAAGAGCTGATGCGAGAGATTCGTTTAGACCAGACGGCACTCGAGGGGTGTGTGGTTAACATCCTGCCGTTCGTCTTCATTTCCAACGACCTTTTCGAGTACCATTTCAGGCTTGGTCGAGCATCATGATATGTCCACTAAATCTTTCCATGTTGTAATGTATCACTGAATGAATTTTAGCATGAACGAATAAAGAAATTATTTCCCTATACTGAGGGGTTTCCGACAACCACTAAAGTGTGATGTAGGGTTATTAATTTATAACGTACCCCAATCACGAAATCCCCGTGGGAAATCCACACCTGACCTGACAGTCTATTATTTCAAGGGGTGCAAGTGTGCTGTTGTTTGGTTTTTTTTTTTTTTTGAGTGTTTTTATAGTGTCTTCTAATCCTAACCCTAACCCTAACCCTAACCCTAACCCTAACACTAACCCCAACCCTAACCCTAACCCTAAACTTGGCTGTAGATAAATCGCGAGAAACTACAACCTGAAAACCCTAGAATTTATTGGGATTGTCTCCCGTGACGTAGTCGTGATGTCAGGGGTAAGTTATAAATTAAGTACCTGATGTAGTCATACAGATACCACATCACTATTGTCAGATTCACAGTTTAATTATCCAGTATGCTGACGACTGTGAATCTCTTTTAACGACAGTTAAAAGGTTGAAAATGCGACTGTACTGACATAGTAAGATGAAATGACCTCTTAAAAACAATACTACATGGCGCAGTAGTGGGAAGAGGAGAAGAGGCAGACCAAGAAATATCTGGATACAGAATTTGACTGATTGGACAGGCCTAAGGCATACAGCCATGAAGTCCATCACATCTGACTGCCAAAGGTGGAGGAAGCTGATCAGACAGTCAACATGAAGTGGCGACTTACGACACGTAAGTGTTACCGGATGATGATAATGATGACCAAAGTGTACGATTAGTTGAGGTACGAGCAGGAATGAAAGTTAAATGGTTAATAATATTAAACGCACGCACACACACACACACACACACACATCTATATACATATACATGTGAGCTGCGTTTGTTTTTCGTTGGCACAGGAGCGGAGAATCTCTGGGGTGACCCGTTTGCTATGAAGCTGAAACTAGGATTACCAGATTACCAGATATACATATATGTATATATTACTGGCATTTCAACAAAACTGGTGTCAAAACATAAACACATATTAGATTACACAAATTGAAATTACTACGAATTCTTATTATAACAATTATTTACGACACCTTTTTTTTTCAAGAATTGCTTTATAATTGACCTGAATTCAGTGGTCTTCATGATGTCAGTTTCCATAAACATGAGTGAAAGTCGCTTAAAATCATGTTGCCACGTTGTGCGGTGAAGGGCAGTTCTTGTTCAATAAGTTTCAATCTTGTGGCCTAGGGGAGCCACATTGCAAAAGAAGCTATGGGAGATCGGTGGCGACCTCAAGCGCACAATCCTA